CCTCTTTCTTCCGTTTCTGAGCTCCTCTTCTCCTCTTTCCTTCTTTCCTCTTTATTTTTGATCTACGTATTTCTTTCTGTCCACTTCCTACTGGAGGTTTATATTTTGCATCAAGCTTCTACTAGCTGTTGAGAGTGTTTTGTTTTGTTTTCATGTGTGTATGTTTAATTTTTTTCCATGGTGTGTTATTCTTAGAGATAGAACTGTCCCAGCTTGGGTGACGGGAGGGCCGTGAGGCGGGGCGTGAGGGGCATGGCTCCCCCTCTGGGATATTGCCGTCTGCTGGCCCACCAGGGCATGGGAATCTCAGGGTCACCAGGGCAGCTCTCAGCGTGCGGGGTGGGGGCACTTCTTCCCAAAAAGACAATGAAGCAACAAGTGACAGCCCCTGCCTCCTGACACAGCTCAGCCGTCCCACCCCCACCCATCCCTACCCCTGAGGTGAGTCTCCCACCTGGAAAAACAACCCCAAACTACCACGGTTTCATCCTTTCCCCAGGAACGGAACAAAAGCCACAAACCAAGACCCAGTGAGACGTCACTGCTGGGCAGACCAGCCTTCAAGTCCAGGGTCACGGGGCCTGTTGCCCCCTCCCCGTGGCCAGACCCACTTTGTCCTTCTAGCTCTCATGGTCATGACGGGTGTTATCAGATTTCTCGTGACCATCCAATCACGTGATGAGGAAGCAGAGGCCCAGAGAGGTGGAGGGGCCTCCCAAGGTCACACAGCTATGGTTTCCTGATTCTGCGTCACAAGTAGACATTGCTCCCGAAGCACAGGAGGTGGGACATTTAGCGTAGGACAGCCACTCTCCATTCCGCTTGGCCACAGTTACCACAGTGAGACACTGCTCACCAGCACGTGGTCCAGCGGGTTCCAGCTCCTCTATTTAAGAAGGCAAAGAAAAGCTTAAGGAATGGTGGAAATTTTCCCCGAAAAGCATTTTAAACCATTTTCATCTTTAAAGGAATAAGCCCTTAGCAAGCAAGAAATTGGCTCTCCATAAAGAACTAATTTCCTGAGGTTTTACTGACTTTGGCTTCTTATTTAACAGTCAAAGGGTCATTTAATTTACAAACGGTCTTTTCAGATGACAAGGCCCCTCTGAAGGTCAAGAGTCTGCTACCTACAAGGTGTCTTTATGGGAATTAGAAAAAGGTGTCACTTCCTCAATACATTTACTTCCATCTATCAAAACATTGTTGTAACTTGCAGATTTTGTTAGACTGACACATTTAATTGCCATCTGCCAGAAAATTGGCATGATAAATATCACAAATCTATAAAGTCTATGAAATAGATAGTGTCCCTAAATTAGCAATCTATTGCAGGGTAACAACACGAAAACTTTGAGGCTTACAATAAAAGTAAGCATTTATTGTTTCACAGTTTCTGTGGATCAGGAATGTGGGAGAGGCTTACCTGAGCAGTTCTGGTTCAGCGTCTTTTGTGAGGTTGCAGTCAAGATGTCAGGCAGGGCTGCTGTCATCTGAAGGCCCGAATAGGGCTGGAGGATCCACTCTCAAGAGGGCTCACTCACATGACTAGCAAGTTGGTGTTGGCTTTTGGCAGGAGGCCTCAGTCCCCTGGATCAGGGACCTCACCCTAGGGCTGCTTGAGCATCCTCACAACATGGCAACTAGTTTCCCCCAGAACGTGTGATCTAAGAGAAAGCAAGGCAGAAACCTAGCCTCAGAGGTCACATAGCTTCACTTCCACAGATCTTATCCATTGTGGTCAGCCCTACTTATGTGGGAGGGGACCACACAAAGCCATGAAATCTTGTCACCAAGAGGCAAGAATCACTGAGGGCCATCTTTGAATCTGCTGCCACAGCCCCCTTAAATGTAGCGCCATTGTATAGTGAACAACCTGCACAACTGTATTATATCATCACTGCTAAGAATAGCCCTTGCCATAGACCTTCATCAACTTTGTGTCAGGCCTGTGCTAAGCATTTAATGATAGTATCTGCCCTCAAGCAGCTTACAATCTAGCAGAGACGCCGAGACACACATACATGTAATTACAGTCAAATAAATGCCAGGGATCAGGAAGTGTTCGGGAGACTGAAGGAAGGAGAGACTCAGTATCTGAACAGAGGGATGGGGAAAGGGTTCTCTGGACCTTGAAGGGTGGGTGAGATATGGACCCCTCAGAAGTACAAGGAGCTCCGCGTGAGCAAAGGCACGGAGGCTGAGGGGAGGTGTATGTTTGGGGATTGGAGAGGTGGGGGTGCAGGGGTACATTTGGGACACATTGGAAGGGAGTGTTGTGGCTGCTCACCCCATCCAGGTGGCCGCCCACTCACAGCTGTGCTCAGAAAGTGGGATAGGAAAGGCTGATTGAGTCTCAGCTCCATTGTCTCTTCTCCCCTTCTCTTTTCCCCCGGCAGAGCTTTGCCAAAACCACCATCACCAAGCGGGCCACCAAGGGGGCCACTTCCACTTCCACCCTGGGGACAGAAGTTCCCTCCTCCCCTCCCCCATGCTTTACGCTCTCAGGTAGACAGGTGACAGATAGAGATGGGGGAGGTTGACGGGTTGACTAGGTTGTTTCCTGTCATTTCCTTTTTTAAAATTAAACTTTTTATTTTGAGATAATTACCGATTCATATGCCGTTGTAAGAGATGATGCAAAGACATCCCATGTGCCCTTACTCGGTTTCCTCCAATGGTAACATCTTGCAAAACCATAGCACGGTATCAACCAGGACATTGGCATTGATGCAGTCCACATCCAGAACATTCCCAGCACCACAAGGACCCCTCCTGTTGCCCTTTTATAGCCTCACCCACTTCCCTCCCACTCCCGGCCCCTCCTCAGTCCCTGACAACCACTCATCTGTTCTCCATTTCTGTAACTTTGTCACTAAGAATGTTGCATAAATGGAATCAGATAGTATATAACCCACTGCGATTGGCTTTTTTCACGCAGCATGATTCCCAAGAGATTCATCCAGGTTGGTGCTAGCATCAAGAGTTCGTTCCTTTTGATTGCTGAGTCGTAGTCCACGCTACAGATGTGCGCAGCGTGCTGAACCATCCGCCCATTGAAGGATGTGTGGGTGGCTTCCGGTTATTGACTATTATGCATAAGGCGGCCATGGCCATTTGTGTACAGGTTTTTGTGTGGACTTACGTTTTCGTTTCTCTGGGGTAAATGCTCAAGAACACAATTGCTGCGTCATATGGTAATTGCACATTTAGTTTATGAAGAAACTGCCAAATCTTTTTCCAGAGCGGCTGTGCCATTGTACATTCTCACCAGCAACGCATGAGTGATCCGTTTCTCCACATCCTCACCAGCATTTGGTGTCGTCACTGTTTTTGTGTTTTAGCCATTCTAATAGGTATGTAATGAGATCTCATTATAGTTTTAATTTGCAATTCCCTAATGGCTAATGATGTTGAACATCTTTTCAGATAAGATGGTTTCTTTGCCATCTGTGTATTCTCTTTGATGACCCTTGCTAGATTTTTATCAGTCGTTATGTCCCCTGAAGCTCTATTAGATCAGAGCCTTCTTGCTTTGTTCTCTGAGTCTCCAGAGTCCAGTACAGTGCCTGGCACAGGGAGAATACCCAATAATATTTAGGGAATGAATGCATAGACTGCAGGGTGTCTGGACCTTTGAAAGATGAGAAGGTGGAAACACAAGGCCTCAGCTCTGGGAAACCCCCTTGAGCACCTGGCCAGGTGGGTGTGCTTAGGGCGGGCCCAGGCTGCTCCACGACAAAGGAGAAGGCAAGGGGGGGAGGAGCAGCCCTCACCCTGCGTGGACAGGTGCTAGGTGCTGGACTCACAGCACACTTCCTGGGCCTGGCACTCCTCACTCCTCCCCTCCCGCTGCCTCTGCCCACAACCAGAAGATAAATGTGTGAGGACCCCCACAGCTCTGCCCACTGGGGTGCAGGGCTTTTGGGTTTTGTTTTGCTTTTTGTTTTCTCCCTACTTTAACTGTATCACAGTAAGAGTGAGGCCTTTGCTAGGATTTATCCACGGGCCACATTCAAGCTTTGCCATAAGGAGAAGGGCCCCACATACTCTGGCATATACCGAGGTCTCTCCGGGTCCAGTATGTTCACGTGGGTAGTGAGTTGTGCTTCCTGAAAGGAAGGGATGCCAGTTGTACTCTGTTCTGTCCCACTCTCTCCTGGTGGCTACCACTGGCCACCCTTCACATATAACATATATAATGATAAGTTGTCTGAGAAGAGGCTTCTCCCCACAGGGGTTTATATTTTCATGAGGGTAACAGAATATAGACACGATAAATTAACTAACAGTGCACTTGGATTTGTACTGAATTTAAATGTTTATTTATAGGTGAAACAGCTCACATACATGCATATATAGGAAGTTAGTATTTTAAATAAACATCAAGAGTTGCAAATGAAAGGAAACTTCATCAACTAAGATGAACCAAGGAGTAAGGTCAGTAGGCAAAACATATGCCACAAGGGCCCTATTCACGGGCTGAAAGTGGGCCGCAAAATTAGTTTTGAGCTTCCTAGTAGCCAGTGCAATGTGTGAGTCTGTGACAGAGTCAGAGGATCTGTGAAACGAGCCACAGCATTTTCTCAGCAGAAGCACCGAGTGGTCCTTGACCCGCAGCCATTGTGAGAGTAAGCGGTGAGGACCGTCCCTGTAGCGTAGGGAAAAGTTGGGTTTCCTGTGGCTGTCCATCGTGGTATTCTGCAACTGCACATCAGGCTAAGTGGAATTCAGTGATCTCAAGCCTGCAAGAAGCCCCTACAGCCTTTGCTAAGTAGCTGACACCAGCTGGCCATGAGGAGCCTAACTCCAGGAGTATTAGGGGTCCGGGGAAGGGAGCCCTGTGGGCCAGTGGAAAGCCCCAGCTTGTGAGCTGGGCTGCGAATTGCAGGTGAGATCAGGCAAAGCTGAGAGTTAGGAGGACTGGCCTCATAGTGCTGGGAAGCCCTCGCGCCAAGGGGCCATGTTCACTAACCAGTCTCCCCCTCTGTGTGTCTCCGCAGGGCTCTGGCTGAGAACATGGCCAATGGCATTGACGAGCTCATCGGCATTCCCTTCCCCAACCACAGCAGCGAGGTCCTGTGCAGCCTCAACGAGCAGCGGCACGATGGCCTGCTCTGCGACGTACTGCTGGTGGTGCAGGAGCAGGAGTACCGGACCCACCGCTCCGTCCTGGCCGCCTGCAGCAAGTACTTCAAGAAGCTCTTCACGGCCGGCACCCTAGCCAGCCAGCCCTACGTCTATGAGATCGACTTTGTCCAGCCCGAGGCTCTGGCCGCCATCCTGGAGTTCGCCTACACCTCCACGCTCACCATCACCGCCAGCAACGTCAAGCACATCCTCAACGCCGCCCGGATGCTGGAGATCCAGTGCATCGTGAACGTGTGTCTGGAGATCATGGAGCCTGGGGGGGACGGGGGGGAGGAGGACGACAAGGAGGACGATGATGACGACGAAGATGACGATGACGAGGAGGACGAGGAGGAGGAAGAGGAGGAGGAAGAGGAGGATGACGATGATGACACGGAGGATTTTGCTGACCAGGAAAACCTGCCCGACCCCCAGGACATCAACTGCCACCAAAGCCCTTCCAAGACGGACCATCTCACGGAGAAGGCCTATTCAGACACACCCAGGGACTTCCCTGATCCCTTCCAGGACGGCAGTCCTGGCCATCTGGGCGTGATCCGGGACTTCTCCATTGAATCTCTGCTGAGGGAGAACCTGTACCCCAAAACCAACATCCCCGACAGGAGACCCTCCTTGTCTCCGTTCGCCCCGGACTTCTTCCCACACCTCTGGCCAGGGGACTTCGGTGCCTTCGCCCAGCTGCCCGAGCAGCCCATGGACAGTGGGCCACTGGATCTGGTCATCAAAAACCGGAAGATCAAGGAGGAGGAGAAGGAGGAGCTGCCCCCACCCCCGCCGCCGCCCTTCCCTAGCGACTTCTTCAAGGACATGTTCCCTGACCTCCCCGGGGGGCCTCTGGGCCCCATCAAGGCGGAGAACGACTATGGTGCCTATCTCAACTTCCTGAGTGCCACCCACCTGGGGGGCCTCTTCCCACCCTGGCCGCTGGTGGAGGAGCGAAAGCTGAAGCCCAAGGCCTCTCAGCAGTGCCCCATCTGCCACAAAGTCATCATGGGGGCCGGGAAGCTGCCGCGGCACATGAGGACCCACACCGGGGAGAAGCCATACATGTGCAACATCTGCGAGGTCCGCTTCACCAGGTGCGCATCCGCAGCCCCTGGGTGGGGGCAGGGGTGCCGGGCACGGGGCCAGAGGCCGTGGGCTGCCAGCAGAGAGGGACACGGAGGGCTGGGGATGGAGAGAGAGACCCAGCTGGATCCCAAACACATGTCAAGGTCATTGGTAGACAGGATTAGGCATCACCTCGTGCAGTGACTTTCAGACTCTTTTGGGGGTTAAAGTATTTCTCAAATACAATATTAGGCGGCAGCCCAAGACATAAAACAGGCCAGAGCAAAGCTGTTCTGGTTTGGAAGGAAGTGAGGGGCCTTAGCACCTTGCATGTTTGGCTCCCTCTCTCCTTCCCCGCCCTAAATCAGGGAACCCCGTCTGAGGCTGCCCAGTGCAGGGCCGCCCCTTCATGTTATCTGGAGAAGCAGTGGCTGCCCTTTCTTACGCATGTTCTGCCTGCCAAGGCCTGTCCGGAGTGATTACGTGTACTGTCACCCCAGCCAGGCCCTGGGAAGATGGGAGGATGCTACTGCCTCCATTTACAATCCACCTCCATTGGCTGGCTGGCCGCGTGTAAGCACGGCTGGAAAACGGCAGGCAGGGACTTGAATCCCAGGCCACGTGTGACAGCAAGGTCTGTGGCCAGGAGACTGCACAGACTCCTGTCGGCTCTTTCAATGATTTTTGGGTCAGACCGAAGGGATGGGCCTCTCTTTATGTTCTCCCTTTCGCCTTTCCTTGTTAGGGAGAGGAATCACTTTATGCTGTTATAAAATTTGAAGTTTGAAATCAATACATTATTAACCTTCCATCTTTCATAGACTCCATCCCACTCAGCAAATGTATGTTAGGTGCCTTCTCTGCACAGCAACTTTTGCAGTCAAACCTGACTGTTGGGATGATGTGGAGTCAGATCTGTCCCCAGCCAGGGGACATTTTTGGAAAATAGGGTCTGTTGGTGCCATTTGTGGTCCCTGGTGCAAGGCTGATCCTCTCAGCCGTGTCCACCGCGGGGAGAGTTCCGGTGAGTGGCTCGGTCATCTCAGTGTGTCGCATGTGCACTGTGCCTGGCAATACCTGCCCCGTGACCTTGACCTATGAGATGAGGTCCCTCCCCAACACTGCCCCTGCCCCCCTCAAAGAACCTACCTTGAGAGACCCACGCTTATTCTAGTGGCCTGGCTGGCGCCCCACACCCTCGTGGAGATGTGTGGTTGGGAATCGCTGGAGGCTCATGCTTTTGGTTTTCCTCAGTGGGCCCAAAGCTTTGCACTGAGGATGGAGTGAAATGTTTTGAATCAGGCTGGATATCAAATCAGGGACTGTGCTTTTCCAGAGGCCAAAAGCAAGATGAGTCCTGTAATGCAGTGAGACCTGCTCTCTTGGGTGGCTTGGAAACTCTATTTGAAGTTGTCAGAGAAGGGTTTCAGAAATATGTTCGTGACAGTGACATTGCCGAAATAGCTCTGCAGGCTCCTCAGCTTTGAAGGACGACACTGATGGCTTTCAGGGTGGCTGCTTCTGTGAGGGAAACCCCAAACAGAATCTGTCCCAGATGCTTCCGGGGGTAGTTGGGGAGAATCTTCCAGGCAGAGGGGCAGGCCTGCACACCCGGAATGTGTCCCCTTCCCCCTAGCTGCTGACCACCCTAGCCTCCCACAGTGCTGGCCTTGGGGAGCTCTGCTCCTGTTACCCCACAGAGCAGCTGGACCCAAAGTCCCCAAGCTTCACCTCCCTCCAGGACAGCCAGCCAGCCTGATGCCACCTGGGTGGTGCTGCCCTGCCCACCTTGGCCCCCAGGGCTGGCTGGAGCACCTGAGCAGAGCCTGACAAAAGCACAGGGAGGACAGAGAGAGCCAAATGCACACACCGTTTATGTGTCTTTGGTGGGCCTGGCTCCAGCTCCCACTCCAGCACCCTGGGGATGACTTCAAAGACACGAGAAGCTCTTCACAGGCCGGAGCCAGGCCAGCCAGCCTGGAATCAGCCTGGAGCACCCTCTGCTGCCAGTACGGGCTCCACCTCCCATACCTGTCCCCTTAACAGATGGCTGACCCTGGGAGCACCTCTCCCTCCAGGGGAGCCCTGAGCTGGTGACTTCAGTGGGATGCACGTCTCTGGGCACCAGTACCGCACAGTGAGCCCACCCGGCACCCCAAGTCCCCATCTCCCTTCCTTCCCCACCCCCTGCCCCTGGGACTTTGCCAGGCACAGCCTTCCGTGAGGCCCACACCAGGTCTGGCCAGTCTGTGGGCCCTGTCTTCCTCGTTCAGTCACTGCAGACAGACTTCTTGCCCTCTGGACACAGGAACATCCTCCAGGAGTAGGCCTCCTGGTGTGGGCAGCGATGCTGTGCTGCATAGGAGGGTGACATTCCAGAATCTTCCCTCCCAGCACATTCCTGGTGGTCACTTGGGGTGGCCTCTGTGTCTGCAGTCCCCCCTCCAGGCCAGATCAGCAGTGGGGCAGGCGAGGCCATCCAGCCATCTGCTCTGCCCTCCCCCGTTCCTCCTGCTGGCAGAATGACAGCCATCTGGCCCCAGGCCTGTCTCCGGCCAAGCAGCTGCATTCCAGCCCCATCAGCACCTCCCCTGGCTCGGTTCCCACCCGGCTCTGACCCTCCTGAAAAAGATCAGACAAGCCTTGGGTCCCCTTCTTCCCAGGAGGGGTGTAGGAGGTTGCTCAGGCCTGTCTCCCTTCAGGGACTTTATTGCTCAGAGCAATAAGGGGTTGTCTGTGTCAGACACTCCCCACTCCCCTCCCCACACATTCTTCAGAGCCACTGGCCCTTTGCTTCCCACCCCCTCCCCAGAGCTGCCCTGCAAGGATTCTTTTCTGTGCTTGAAGAGCCCGGAGCCTGGCCTGTCCTGGCTGGGGTTTTCTTGTAATTCTCTCTGCAGCCAAGGCCACTAGCAGCCTTTCCATGGGGACCTTCTTTTTGGCGGAATTCCCCCAACCACAATCCATACCCTTCCTCCCACCTGGAGGCTGTTTGGCAGCCACTTAAAGCAGCGGTGTCTGCTTCCTTGACCTAGAACTCCCAGGCTCCCTTACAAGGCCACGCCACTTCCTGAGACTGGGGCCCCACAGTGTCCGTCTCGCTGCTCCCCCCAGAGGCAGAGAGGGACCCCGGCCACACTGCCCTCGAGCCCTCCTGTTGGACACTGTTTCCCCTTCTGGAGTCTGAGTCTCTCTGTATTCGCAGCTGAGCTTTTGCCCTCTGGCCGCCCTCGTCTCCTCCCTCCCTGATGCTGGGGACAGTTCAGGGTCCTGCGGGGTGCTGGAGGGGTCCGCCCTTCCCCTGAATGGGGGCCCTTTTGGCCAGGCTCTGAGTTATAGCCACCCAGATGCCACCTTCCGGAGTGTCCACACCCCATGGGGACTCCGATCCTAATGACTTCAGCCACAGCCAAGGCGGAGGGGTGTGGGATTCCTTCCAACGGACCCCCTCTACCCTAAGGCCCTGCCTGCTGCTGTCGTGCTGTGGTCTCTGAGAGGAGGGACAGAGGCCTCCCCACACTGCTATCCTCTGCTCCTTGGCGTCAGGAACCTCTCCTCTGAGTCAGCTCTAGATTTCGGCCAGTCCAACTAGTTGTTCCACCACTGACCTGTTCCAGTTATGAAATGCCCCCAGGCAGGGCCTGAAGACTTCAGCCGGCCCCGTGCTGTCCCCTCCTAGCTCGAGTCACCCCATAATCACTTGGGCTCTGAGCCCCTCTGCCTCTGTCTGTGTTTACACTCCCTTGGCTTAGCTCAAGGGCACTGTTTTCCTCCTGTGCTGGCCACAGAGAGACACCTCCTGTCCCTTTCAGGTCTGACGGGAGGAGAGGAGCAGTTCCAGGACATAGGGCAGAGGCAGTGTGGACCAAGGTTACCGCAGGCCCTGTTCATCAGGGCCCCTTTACCTCCTGTCCCCAGAGAGCTTGGGAGCCAGGGCCAAAGGAAAGGACTGTAGGGTTCTGCCCCGGTGACACCTAGGACAGGCCTTGAGGAACAGGGACCATGTGATCCAGGGGAGATCAGAAGGCATTTGTCCTCATGCAGAGGGACACTGCCGTGCACACAGACATCACAGGTGGCCCCCTGCACACCTCGTTGCCCCAAGTGCAGCCATCACTGCCTACCGGGGCTGGGCCTGGGCCCTGTGAAGGCCTCCACGTCTCCCTCCTCTTAACTCCCACCACGTGGGTCTTGCCTCCTGCTGCTCTGGGCCCTTCCACCCTTCCACCGGGAGCTCCTAGAAAGCACGGCTGGCCAGACTCCCTCCTGCAGCCCCTGCTCTAGCTGCAGCCTGGCTCTGAGGCCTGCCCAGCCATGTCTGATGGGGTAAGTATTGAGGGTGAGAAACGGCAAGACGAGAAGAGACTGGCCCCAAAGACAACAGATGGGGGACGTGCCATCCTGGGAAGGGCTGGACAACCTCTGCGCCCTGAGAAGTGTCTCTCTGACAAGCTGTGCTTTCACCAGCCCCTGCCGAGTCCCTCTCGAACTCCCAAAGGCGACAACTTTTCATGCCCCACCCTCCTCCAGTGACAGCTGTCTGCTCTCCAGACAGGGTCAGGAGCCCGCCTTTTGCTTCCCCTCTATTTTCTTTCAGTCCTCCCACTCAGGACGGCTCTGGGAACCTTGTTAAGATAATGTAACGTCGTTAGCAGTGGTAGCAGGAGGAGTTTGTCTCAGACCTTCACGTTACAAGAAGTGTGGGTGGGCGCTGCTGGGAAGGCCTTATCCTGATTGGGGGCCGTCCTGGAGGCCGAGGCCACGGCCCTCTCTGATTCAGGGAATGAGCTCATGGGGACTCGCACATCTTTCCCGAGCATGGGCTTTCCGAGCTGGGAGAGCGAACGTAGATCCAGGCTTGCGTGCATGTGACCTTGGCTGGGCCCCCCATGCAGGGAAATGGAACGAGATGGCAGACGAGGGGACCAGGCCCAGAGAGGAGCATGTCGGATTTGGAGTTGGGGCTCTGAAATTGCCCCACTGGTCTGTCAGCGAACGCACGATGAGCACGCTCTGTACCTACGTTCAG